GTGTGAGAAGAGGTTTTTTGACATCTATGACTTAAGGGTGCACCAGAGAGATCACACTGGAGAGAGACCTTATATGTGCTCTGAGTGTGGGAAGAGTTTTAAACGCGTTTACATACTTAACAAACATAAACGGACCCACTCAAAGGAGAGACCTTTCCAGTGCTCTGTGTGTGGTAAAGCATACAGATATGGGTACAGTTACAGGTTGCATCTAAAAGACCATCTTGATTAGGGTCCATGATGTGTATCGGCATATTACTTAACAGTGAAAGGGTCTACATTTTTATTCCTTCCTTAAAGGATGAATGTTTCTTTATGTAACGTGGAAAATGTGTTTTTAGTATTTATTTAATTTGAGAGAGCTTTTTGACTGAAATTGACTAAAATCATTTTTTGATCTATGCTATTTATGGTGGTTTGAATGAGTCATCTCCTCATGAATGAGTTTGTTCCACTCTTGAAGAGCGTGTAGTTTACTCATGTAGTTGTCCAATGATTTATAATAGACAATACTTTTGCTTTTTGCACATTTTTATGTTTTACAAGCAGCTTTATTGTTTTTTTTTTTGTAGCAAGCTTGCATTAAAATGAGAGGATTACAGATTTAAGTCTCAGTTCTCTTTCTGACATTTTGTGTTGGACGAAATGTTTCACTTCAGAAGAATCAGATGTGGCATGGAGAAGATATCACAAAACAGTATAGAATCAAGTTTGTATGAAGTAAAGTATCAGCAGCACTGTGAAAACAAACCTTGCTTGAGTGAAATATTGACAGAATGGAAATGGTTTGGAAATAAAGGTAATTTCGCTATGATGGCCCATGTTCTGTACACATATATATCTATACTACCGTTCAAAAGTTTGTTTGTTTGTTTTTGTTTTTTTATAATGTTCTTGAATTAATTATCTTATGCTCACTGAGGCTGAACTTGATTTGATAAAAAATACAGTAAAACAGTAATATTATAAAAAATGAATACAATTAAAAAACTTTCTATTTGGATATACATCCACAGATTCTTCAGAAATCAGTCTAATATGCTGATTTGCTGCTCAAGAAATATTTCTTATTATTATCAATGTTTTTGAGGAAACTGCAATGTATTTTCTAAAAGTAAAAATAAATTTGTAAAATAAATCTTCTGTAACATTATGAACTTTACTGTTAATTTCAATCAATTTATTGCAACCTTGCTGAGTAAAAAAAAAAAAAATTACTATCCCCAAATTGTGGAACAGTATAAATAAAAATGTTGTCATCAGTTACTCACTCTCATTTTGTTTCAGACCTGTTTGGCTTTCTGGCTTTCTTTCACTATTGACCTGGTTAACCTGGTCACCATTGTATGGATAAAAACATTTGAAACAATCTTCAAAATATCTTATTTGATGTTCCGCAGAATAAAGGTACAGGTTTGGAACAACATGAGGGTGAGTACATGTTGGGGTGAACTATTCTTTTTATATTTCTCCACCAGAGGGTGGCCAAATGCTTTACATTCTAACCACTCCTGAGCTGCTGAGTAAGCAAATGCCCAGTATGCAGCCAGTTTCAATAGAACTGTTCAGATCAAAATGTTCACAATGCTGGCACAAATATTTAAAGTGTTTTTGTTTTATATTAAAAATGGCATCTTTTGCAAATTCATAATTTTAGTATAAAGTAATCAGTAGTGTATTGGATCACATGGGTTTATACGGAATAAAAGGAAAGAGAATGTTCCGTGTGTGTTATGGTGGAGTCATGTAAGTTATGTACTAAAAGCATAATTCAAATGAATAATACCACTGACGCATATTTTGAACATTCTTGTAAATTTAATGATAACACTACAACTCTTTGTGCTTTTTGCGTTTATATTTTTACAGTTTTGTCCATGGTGTGCCTTAAAAAGCCTGCAGCTAAGGTTAGAGATACACTAAGAGAAGAATATGAATCCATTGCTGCCCTTGATTTGGAATCTGATGTTTCTGAAAGTGATGGCCCAGAATGCCACCATGGCCCAGATGTGACAGAGGGTCAGAAAACTGTCCTCACAGACTTCAAGTTCTCATCTGAGTAATCTAGTGATGAGGAGAGTGAAGATCGTTTGAGTCGATGGAGTAAAGGAGACTTATTGGAGCAAATATCCTCCTCAAAGTGAAATCAGGACCACCTCACAGAGCTGTCCAGGACCTGCATCAGGGTCTTCAGTAGAGATGCCTAAAGATGCCTGGGAACATTTCATGAGTGAAAACATCATTGATGAGATCCTGCAATGCACCAATTTGGGTGGAATGAGAGCAGCGTTAGCAAAAGGCAAAGTGTGACAAAAGATTACTAAAGAAGAGCTAAAAGCCTTTATTGGTCTGAGCCTTCTCATCGGTGTAGAGAGAAGTTGCAATGTCCCAATCCGGGAACTGTTTATGGATCCATTACAGAACCCACTGTATAGAGCAGGGCTGCCCAAACTCGGTTCTGGAGGGCCGGTGTCCTGAAGAGTTTAGCTCCAACCCCAATTAAACACACCTGAACCAGCTAATCAAGCTCTTACTAGGCATACTAGAAACTTAAAGGCAGGTGTGTTAAGGCAAGTTGGAGCTAAACTCTGCAGGACACCGGCCCTCCATGACCGAGTTTGGGCAGCCCTGGTATAGAGCTACCATGTCTGTTGGTAGATACCAAGATCTTCACAGATTCCTCCAATTTGATGAGAGGCATCAGAATGTAAGAGAGGCATCAGACCACTTGCCAAGCCGCCCATCCAAGAGTGGCATAAAAATCTTTTGGATGTGCCATGCAGAGGTCCCCTATGCCATTGATGGTGTCATCTACAGCCAGGAGAGGAGACTGAAGAGAACCTTGCAGAGAACACGGTCTTGAGGTTGTCCAATGGACTTCAGCAAAAAGGTAAACGTTTTTTTAAAATTGTAATCCGTGGTGTTTCCAAAAAAAAGCTTTGAGGCACTTTGGGCTAAATGTCTTTCTTAAAAGCACACATTTAATTCTTGTAGGGATCGAATCAGTAGCCTTCTGGATACCAGCCCTTAGCCTCAAACACCATTCCAAACTGGTTGTTGTTGTGTAATCTAATGACCTTGCCTTATTATGTGTTTATTTCTCATGATGGGTCTCAACATTACAATGGACAGCTACTTCACCAGTGTCCCTCTGGCAAAGAAGCTTTTTGAGAAAAGCTTGACCATGGTTGGGACCCTTCACCATAAGAATCTACATGTGCGACCAATAATGAAACCATCTAAGCTACAAGCACTACATACCTCGTGAGTTTGGTTTTTGTGGCAAAGTATTCATGGTAAGCTATGTGCCAAAACTAAAAAAGGCAGTGATTTTGTTGAGTACAACGCATACCAGCAATGTGCTGAATGAAACAAGTGCTAAAAACAAGCCAGAGGTCATTCGGTACTACAGCCGCACCAAAGGAGGAGTCAACACTGTTAAGCAAATGGCCAAAAATTATACCTGCAAGCGCCAAACAAAGAGATGGCCTATGCTGATTTGATATAACATGTTGGATATTGCCATTGTAAACTCCTACTCCATTTTCATTGCTCAGCACCCTAGCTTCATGGGAGGTGGTCATAACACCCAACGCTTGTTCATAAAAGAGCTGGTGAAAGAGCTTGTAGTGCCTCAGATTCATAGGCGCAGAGAAGAAAGCCCTGGATTATCCATGAGCATTCTTAAGACCATTCTTGTCTGCAAAAATCACAGTCACATTGAGGTGATTTGCTACCAGTGCATGCCTTAAGACCCAGACAGAAACAGTTTCTATAGTTCTATTCTGTATTGATAATGACTGTACTGCTGACAAGTTCGGTTTTTTTAAAGCACTGTTGTTTAAAATATTTAGTGTGTATTGTAAATATGGTTTCTTTAATTACTTGAATTTAATTAATCTTTGATTAATTATCTTTAATTGTACAATGTAAATTTGACATCCATGTTTTTAGATATAATGTTGAATTCATAGATATTTTATCATTTTTATGCATTACACTTGATTGAACATTAAAATTGAGTCATTTACTATAGATTTACATGAATGCTATGCATCTGACTGAATCCTAGATACATTCTTGGGGGTACTGTTACCTGTTTAATTTAGATCCGTCAGGTGAACAAAGTTCTGAAAAGTGTCTTCAGAAAGGCAAGCGAGTATACTAACACCACAAGGTGGAGTACTAATCAGTTTGCCATTTTAGGGAAAGATACCTCAGGTGAGTTAATAAGTTGGTTTGTTGTGTGAGAATCCTTTAGATTATTTTAAAACCCATCTGGTCCAGCAAAATGCAGCCCTTATGTTCTGGTTGTATTTATTTCTTCTTCTTTCTTAGTATTATTTTCTTTACCACTTCTACTTTAATATGATTGATTAAATAGAAAACAAATGTTCATTCCAAAACGAATACTTGATGTGATTGGTCTTTTTTCAGGTGTTTTTAAGCAACATTTCCCTGTGATCTGTTTGTGGTTCATCACTTAAGAATCTCACCCCTGTTGTTAAATAAACCAATCCATTTGCTTACATCAGCCTATTGCTTTCCTTAAGGTGTTTAGTTTCACATAATAGGCTATACCACTAACCTATTCCATATGAACTGGTGTCAGTTAAGTTGTTTTGTAGGGGAGATTTACGAAAGTGTTTTAGTGGTTTTCTTTACCCTTACATTAAGCATAGGAGTAAAACACTTCTATCGTTAAAAAAAGTAGATTTGCTAAAACTGGAACCGCATATTTAGACGACATCTCGTTTAAAATCATTTTAGGCTTTATGAAACCACGAACTAAGCAATTTGTTAAAATAGTTGTGTTTTTAAATACGTTTCGTGATAAATATGAATATTCTGTAGAAATTAGCCAGTAGCCAATAATCAACAGGTTGTCGTTAAATAAAAGCGCATATGTTAAACAGCGCGTGTTGATTGGCCATGTGAGACAATGACGCGAACAGACGCAACATGAATAATTAATTAGTTCCTTGCTGTTACAGTGCAAATAAAGCGAGATAACGGGCCGTGGACAGCGGGCTAAAACTTTTTATTCTGACATAACAGAGCAATGACATTTGTGTAATTATAAACCTGGGACACGGATCCCAGCGAAGGAGTAGGGTCTGTGCTGGACGAAAAGAGAGAAGCGCTGATTTTTTTTTTTTTTGGGGTGTGGAATACCGGACGGCGCATTCACAGTAGATTCTGACCAAGTTTGCCTTGTCCAGAAGTAACAGTGGAAGAGTTAAAGTTACAGTAACAATATGAGCTTGTTGTCTGCTATAGACACCAGTACCTCAGTGTACCAGCCTGCACAGCTTCTCAACTGGGTTTACCTTTCTTTACAAGACACGCATCAGACGAGTGCCTTCGATGCCTTCCGACCCGAGCCCAACTCTTCCCATCCGGACCTGAACTACAGCAAATCTCCTGCCAATGACCTGAGCTCCTCTCTCAACTCCAACTATCTCAACAACTTCTTTCAGCTGCAGAGGAATGAGGTAAATCGTTTTCTGTTCTCCTACAGTTTTTTTTTTTTAATAAATTCATGGAGATAACGGTCCCTATAGCGACTGGAATCAGATTCATTATGGAAAGCGCAGTTGACTAATGCACGTCTATTGTAGCGCGCGTCTAATCTTGGCTACATTTGCACAATACACAAATGCTTTAGGCGATTTACATAATCTTTTAATCTCTGGAAACTTGAAAATAATTGTGTAATAATTTTTCATTTCTATCGTGTAACAATAATAAATCTTATTTATTTATTTTGCAATGCTATGTGAAAAATATACAGTTTCAAGGATCATTAAAATGGTGCCAGTGTGCAGCTTTGCACACTCAGTTTACTGTATTTTGTAACAGCACGTGTACAGCCAAATGAGGCTTAATTTCAACATGTAGAGGTCCAATTAATCAGAAGTCTGAGTTTGATGATTGCTTGCTGATCTCTGCAGGCCTAAAATGTGTGCTGTCATAATTGAGGTCGGGATAATCAAAGATGATGCTCATTTGTGAGGTTGCTATAGTTGCTGAAGACATGACACTTAATCTATATTATTTAAATAAGTTGTAAATATAATTAGTAATCCTCTCTGAATAACTAGATTTGATTGTATTATCAAAAAGGAGATCTTGCCAGTTTATGAGAAGAAAATTAAGGAAAATTCATAAATTAGTATGTTTGTATTTCAGTGTTTAAATTTATAATTCATAAGTTATTTCAAGATTCAAGTGAGATTAATGTAGGCCTACTTTTGGGAACTACTTATATTGCTATATTTAGACTTAGGCTACTGGAAATGTTGTCATAAAACATGGATAAGAAGAAAATAATATGGTTTTCACGTATCATTAAAATTAGGAATGCTTGTCTAATTAAATATAATAGTTATAACACTCGGCATAGTAAAGGAGCACACATGGAACTAAATCTGTTGAATTGTTTTTGTACTCCTTCAGTTTATTTTTCTAAATGAGAGAATTACTTCCAGAAGCTTGAACATATGAATGCATTTTCTTTTTAATGATGTAATGACAGTGTTGTGGCTGAGACAGAGGTAAAGTGTTGATGTTTAGTGGAAAGTTTGAGGAACGGCAAAGCTTTTATTCATAATCCGAGTTAATAAAAACATTATGACAAGTTCTCTCTCTTTTTCTCCATTGCCCCTCTTTCTTTTTCTCTCCCTTGCTATTTTTTCTTTTTCTCATATGTGGAGGGTTAAGAATGCTCTCAAAATTCCCGTATTACACAAAGAGCATCTTTTTTTCTTTGTGAGGCCCAGATTCAATCTGTTAAGTATTTACAACTAATGAAGAAGGTTGGAACTAATTCTAGATTTTTAAAATTATTTTTGTTTGCATAACTTACCAAATTGTCTACACATTTTTTTAGAAGGTGTTAACTGGTGTGCGTTAGTGGTGAGTGGCAGAGGTTAGGAGTGACCCCCCGACTGGCTCTCCAGCTGTGTGAAGGGGTGAGGAGGAGAGATGTCGTCCAGTGGTGTAAATGTGTGTGAGAGCCGTATCGCTCAGGAGACACATAGCCAAATTCCTTTCTGACCGCTACATTCATTGCACGAAAATTGCTAATAATTGCATGAATGCATTCAGACATAACCGCTGATCATCGTAATTTTTGTATTTCCATGACGTTTAAAAATTGACATTTAAAACATGGCTGTGCGGTTTGTTCGTTTTTTGTTTACACAAAACTCCATAAATTTCCATTGCCTTTTCATATAGTCCTTGTTGATCTTAGACTGCACTGTCTGTTATTCATAACTCAAAATAACGGTGTAGCTGGATGCTTAGTTTCTCATGACACAACTTTTTATAGGCCTATTATTTTTTTTAAATAAACACATCTAAAGATTTCTAATTTCATGTAACTCATAATCTTTTGTCAGACACACTCAGAAGTTTCAAATTTAGGAAGAATTGTTTTTTTGTGTTTCTCATGGATTCCACTCACAAAGAATGAATATCAGCTGGATTTGACCAGACAGGATGGAAAATGAACGTCACGTACAGCTATAAAAGAAAGATCTAAAAAAGCTTGTTTAATGCATTCAGAGATGATCTAACTGATGAAGACCAATTCGTCTGAGAGATATGTGCAGAAACTGTTTATTGTCCTGGCTTGCTGAGAACTAGATGACAGTTATCTGGACTTAGTATAAAGTTTCAGGACTGTCCAACATGAAACTTCAACAATAACATAATCTTCCAAACCATAACCAGAGGAAGACATCACTCAAGCAACATCTTCCCATACAAACTGTCTGTAGAGTTTGTTTGATTATCTACTGTACTTTCTGTTGTTAAATGGCAATCTGATTTGCAAATCTTAGACTCGTGTACTTATCACTGGCTTTAGTGGATTATGTCGCCCCAATTTAGGAATCTCTTTTGTTAGATAATATGGCTAATAGAGTTCTACATAATTGAGGACATTGTTTTTGACTATATATTTAATCATATTTTTCCTTGTAGCTTTAGCCTATAGACAGTATTTAAGAGCAGCATATTATGACATGTTAAAAATATATTGTTTCTTTGGTTCTTTATACATAGTTTGCTTCAGTTTGTGTTCATATTGGGATAAATTGACTTTTGGATTATGGATGTCCTGTTATGTTTTGCAGGCCCTGAATAATGGTTTATACAAAAGTGTGTCCCCGTATGGCTCTCTTAACAACATAGTGGACGGGCTGAACTCTCTAACGGACCACTTCTCTGACCTCTCCCTGTCCTCTGAGCCACGCAAGCCCAGCAAGAGACCTCCACCAAACTACCTGTGCCATCTCTGCTTCAACAAGGGACACTATATCAAAGACTGCCCACAGGTAAGCAGCCAACGATCTCTGCACACCCTGGAGAGATAGAAAGAGAGACATGTTGCTTCATTGACCAGCATTTCAAACAGGCATCTCTCTGTCGTTTTAGTCATGTGTATTAAGTTAATTCAGAGAGCTACTGTGCTGAGCATTGAGGGGGAACGCAAGGCCATTGAGCAATCTTTAAAAAAAAAAAATGAAAATCATCTGATTTTCTTTCTTTTTTTTTATCTAACTTTCTCTGGCGTCTGTCAGTGACATCAGTCGATAATAATAAAAACATTATCATCAGGGATATCACACATAAAATGTGTTCAGCAGGAAAAGAGGCATACAGTCATTTTCACAAATAGTCTCTTTGCCACATGTGTTTTGCAGGTGATATTAGCCGTTGTTGTTCTAGCAAATGTAACTAAAAGTTTCATAAAGCAGTGGTTTTGTATAGATGCATGACGATATGTTTACAAGGCAAAACATTTAAACGAATGTTCAAGTTAATTTTGTGGTATGAATGGACTCAGTGAGACAAGAAATACTGCAGAAGTCAGAGATGCTGGAGTGAGAATGTTTTGCCCTCGAGATAAACAGGTGACAAGTTTTAAATTTGCGTTTGGAAAGGAAAACCATAGGAAATCATGAGAAACCACTCCTTGACCTTTAATTGTCTTGTTTCAGTTATTGCAACAGCATTCTCAGAGCAATGCTTACCCTCAAGGACAAGGAAAAAATATGTCCAGGCTTCTTAAAAAAATATTTTAGTTTCACTTTTTAAAGATTTAATGTAGAGCACTGTTTTTTCCAGATTTTTTTCCTTGTCTTATCTTTTGCCTTTTTTCATTCCAATACTGATTTAATGAATAAAAAATAGTGTTAAACTCGCAAAAGTTCCAGAAACAAAGATAAAATACAATTGTTTTTGAAGCAGACAGTGTCATCTTTAATCTCAGTGTTTAAGCTTTTAGTGTTTTATAGTCTTTGGACATAGAGACATGCAGGGTGAGGTTCTTGTTCAGGCCCAGACTCAAGTCAGAGCTGCATGGAATGGTAATGCAGACCAGATGTGGGATTAAAGTGGCAAACCTCCCTTTATGAAAGATGATGAGGGTTCCCTGCAGACTTGCTAAAAGTCCTATCATGGTGAAATATCTCCACCTCTTTGTGCACAGCTCAGGTAATTTACAGACTTTTTCTTTGATGTTCTCAACATGGTGTACTGAAATACACTGATGTTTGTTTTTATAAGGGTGTTTGCTGTCCCTGATGGGTGATGGAAAATATTGCTCATGTGCCATTAGGCCTATAACAGATTGAACTGTAGTTGTATCAGTGTTATGATGTAATCGTGGATTAATTTACAAAAACATAGCAGTCATGGTCATATTACATTAACTGTGATGTTATTGTTATTGCCATTCAGATATTGAGCCATTTTCAAAAGCAGGGCTTTTTAAACTTTTGATGCTAAGGGCACCCAAATATGAAAATTCCTTTTCGCAAATATAAACACGTTTTGTTTTCATGTATAAAGACCCATTTATACTGTGTGTGAAAAAATATGATATTATAAAGTAATTGGTTATATTATAAAGTAAAAATCAGTAATTGGCCTTATATCGTTAGTGTACTGAAGTCAAAACATATTTTCAGTTCATTTCAACTATACTGATATTGTGCGGTTCAAAATAAAAATGGTTCTAGAGCAGATTTACAGTTAATTCTGACAGTCCTAAAAATATATAATAAAAATGTGAAATATTTTTTTCCCTCTCAGATTTTCTGCACTTTGAAAGTCTGAAAACCCCTGGTCTGTAGGAATCTACACAATGGGTTTCACTAAGTTGGTATCACCCTCTCATGTTAAACAACTTAGAAAAACAAATACTAAAAGAGCAAATGCTGAGTTTTATTATGACAAAACACTGCAGGCTATAATACTAGCCTGAGACCAGTCAGTAAATCATTGTCAGAACTGTCCTGTTTTAAATTTCAGTTGCTTGTGTCAATGCCAGTGGAAACACAAGAAAAGTCCTGTCCCACGATAGTGTCCACACCTACTCAATTCAACACTGCAGCAATTTACCTCCCCCTGGGGTCTCACTTTCTGAGATTTACTTTCCATTTGTCATATGCTGCATCCATGTATTTACTCGTCCGGACGCAGCGATTCGCCCTTGATTCCTGCCAGAAAGCACAGTTGAAAAATGATGAACGTGGTGAGTGTGATCTTGACTCAGAGGAAATGAATTCCAGGGTAAGCTGGTCCCCACTCAGGGTTTGTCCTGTCCAGAGGACTACATACTCCCTGCCAACACAAACATTGAGGATTTGACTTCACGGGGCACAGCGGGACCTGTGATCTAAAGCCAGCGCTGAGAATCATGTTCTCATGCATTCTCCCAGCGCACCGTCTAGGTCTCCATTCGTCTCCCAGCAGACGAGGTGCAATGGGCCAAGCTCCCCAGTCAGGGCAGGGGCAGAGTTTCAAAACACAGCCATCCCGAGGACTGAAGCTGGCGTTGTCTTGGCCAGATAGGAATTGGGGAATGTCATGGCTCGGTTGGAGTAGAGCGTGGGGGCAGGAAGCGTGGTAGTTATGTCTTCTGGTGTGTGTGGTTCAGACTCACATGTTTCACCTAGGGGAAGTGGTTCTGGCCTGGCCCTATAGCGGAGCTCCACATGGAGCGCTAGTTAGAAAAGAACACCATTGAGCAGGCAGCTGTTTGACCAACTCTGCTCTGCCCAAGGGCAGCTAAGTGAGAGTTATGTAAAGAAGCTCCACTAAACGGGTGAACAGTTTTGCCCTGTCATTCATTAGCCAGAATTCCTAAGACCTCAAAAAGCCATGTCCCAGTTCTTCTTGTTTATATTATGCCAGTTTAATATCTGATTGTTTCAGTCGATGAGGCTCAATCTATCCCTCATACAGAGGTGCGGTGGGATTTCCTCATGGAAAATGTGTGTGCTGGAATGTGGCTTGTAGAACTGTAAAAGCCCTGCATGTAAGCTCAGCTCGTGAGTCATGTCCTCTGCAATGCATCCCTATTGCCAATGCCCTTTTTTGTGTCACAGTCTCATAGTGACACTGGATGTCATTCTGACAGCCACCCTCACCCGATCAATGTGAGTCTTGTTAGGAAATCGTCGAAACATGGTACAGGGTGCAGAAAAGAATGCCTTTGTGTTGTACTAAGAAATTACTACAGGGTCACAATTGTGTTTCTGTCTCCTATTTACATTTTCCCTGCTTGATGTGTTGTGTTAGTGGCACTGTGCTACAAATGGGATGTTGGATGTTTTAAGTTTTTATTGCTCAAACCATACTAGAAAACTTTCATCATGCAGAATGTACTGAAATACAAAATACACTTTGTTCATGAACATTTTTGCCAGTCATTTCATTGATAATATTAATGCTGCATACTGAAGTTGCATGAAATTCAGCGACTCTAGAGTAGAGTAGACTCAGCTGGGGTCTGTAGTCTTCATATCCTTTGATTGGAAAACTGTAGATTCTCTTATGTTAATCAGAAACACATGAACGCCGCTGATTTCATACAGAGCTCTCATTATTCTTTTGACATAATACATCTCTTGTTCAAATCATAATCATGGCAATGGAATGTGTGTATATATAGCTTTATTTCGTGTTCCTCCAATGCCCCAACGTTCTGTTTTTGAGTAGCTTTTTACAGTTGAAGCCTGTTTACTGTTCAGTTGATTTGGAATTTTGAAGGTTTGTTGATTGTGCAGGTTCTGAAAGTCAATATAATTAAAATATAGTTATTGTTTTACTATTTTGTAATTTTACAACTATTTGGTAATTTCTTATATTAATATTTTTTATTAATCATGTAATTTGCAGTTTGTGATGGAGCTTTCATTCGAGTCTTTTTTTTTCTTCAACGTAACAAATGTTTCTCTTATGTTGCATTATTTAGTTTCTCTAAGTGTCTTGGGCCACTTAAGTCTATTGATTAAGAGTGGCAGATTCAACACTCTGGAGGCTATTTTGAACAAATGGTGCCCCCATCATCATCAGCATTAGTGAAATCTACCCCTAGCACTTTAGCACAGTTTGACAACTTCATTACTACCTAAGCGAAGACCTTTGTGAACTTGCATGTTTTATTTCACCGAGCAGTTTATCCACCGTTGGTCAGAGCGATACAGCTTTTATGATTTGTTGTTGTCATTATGTAAGATAGTGAAATTGTAAACATTAGCCTGGGGTTATGTAATTTTGTTTGACAAGAAACCTTTGTTTGAGACAAACTTCCATTACAACTCCTCCCGCCTGTGAAAGGAAAACACTCTGATGTAAGAGGCAATCACTGAGTTCTTAGGAGACAGTCACCGTCTCCTCAGTCTCTTGCTGAGATAATTACATAAACATGGCTCTAATAGGGAGCCAAAATGACAATGCATTTCCTGCTTCTTGATAGAAATGAACAAATCGCTGTAACTGCATACATAAGCAAGTCCATTTTCAATCAGAAACTATGTCAGGCTCGAGTAATGAGGTGTGAATACGTATTGTTAAAATGCTTTGTACTATATAGTGCGTACTTCATCATTTGACAGTTCTGTTGCTCTGAGAGTGCTAGAAAACTTTGAATAACTGTATCAAAAGCCACATACAATCAGTGACGTGGTCAGATTCGACTAAGTGTGCCTTTTGTTGTACACTATATATTATATTTATCTGTTTTTGGGACGTTTAATTAGGCAGTTGTTTAAATCTTGAAAGATTTATGAACTGAGTTCGAGTTGATTTCCTTCTGCATCAAAACATGCTGTCAAGCATTTCTGGCATTGTTGTATTATGATCTGCTTCAGAAATATTTCTCTTTATGATCAGTCTTTTCAGTTTTGAAATCCAGCTTAAACTGATTGTCAGTATTTTAGATTTAGTGAAAACATCAACTTTGACTTACACATTATAACAGTTTTAGTTTTGAATTTAATGTCATTTCATAAAAAAAATCTCTTTACTGTGCAGTTAAACTCTT